CAGAAAGAAATCTTTATGTTATGTTTAAGTAGCCCAATTTAAAAATTGGCAAAGGATTAGAATAGATATTTCTTTAGAGAAGATATACAAATGACCAATAAGCACATGCAAAGATGCTCAATATCATCAGCCATGATGCAAATCAAAACCACGAGACACACACTTCACACCCATTACAATGGATGTAATAAAAAAGATAATAACAAGGGTTGTTGAGGATTTGGTGAAATTATACCCTCTAACATTGCTGATGGGAATGTAAACTGGTGCAGTCATTTTGGAAAGCAGTTTGGCAGTTTCTGATCAGCAATAGTAATACACTCTTAGGTATATACCAAAGAGCAATGAAAACATATGTTACCACATATATGAATGTTTATTACATTATTATTCAGAATAGTCCAAAGGTAGAAACAACCCAATGTCCATCAACTGAGGAATGAGTAAACAAAGTGGTCTATCCATACAATGGAATATTATCTGGCCATAAAAAGAAATGAAGGGCTCATACAATATGGATGACTCTTGAAAACATTATGCTTAAGTGAAAAAAAGCAAGCCACAAAAATACCATATATTGTATGATTCCATTTATGTGACATGTCCAGAAAAGGCAAAGCTATAGAGACAGAAAGTTGATTAGTGGTTGCTTAAGGCTGAGATGTAATTAGGAGCGGAATAGGGAATGAGTATTAATGGGTACAGAGTTTGTTTTATAGGAGGGGCAAGAATATCCTAAAATTAAATTGTGGCAATGATTGTACAACCCTTTGAATATATTAAATATACTTAAAAACACTGAGTTGTGAACTTTAAATGGGTGGAAATTATATCTAAATAAAGCTGTTACAAAGAAGCACAGCACTGGACAAATGAACTGTCAATCATTACAAAAAGAGAAAAAATGTGTTCTGCATTTGAAAAGACTATCCCACCTGATCTTGTCAATCCCTCATAAGGTAGGTTCTATTATTATCCTTAGTGTACGGATGAGGAAACTGAGACTCAGTTTATGTACCTTGCTCATGATTACACAGCTAAGATACAGCAGAGCAGGGACTGGAACCTACGTCTCTCTGACTTTGGATCCCAAACCCTTGCTGTTATCAATAGACCATGTTGCCCCTCTAAGTATAGTCAATGTACCTACATTGAGTGGCTTTAATTTAGGCCTTAATGGTTGTATCTAGGGGTCTCTGGATCAGCTGGGGGATTGCTTCTTCACCTTTTGGCTAAGATAAAGTGTGGATGAGCTGGAGGAATAATATGTAATTATCCTTGGAGACTTAGAGAAGTGCTCTATAGGAGCACTGAGCCAGGAGCTCGAACTGTCAGTTTGGGAGGTCTCTACCCTCAGGCATTGCTCACAAGTCCTGGCAATGCATTAGGTGCTAATTACCTATGAGACAGCTGAACAACCTTAATCTGCTACTATCAGAGGTGGCCCCCAAGGGCATGTCCAATAAGGAGGTGGTGAATCCATTCAGACAAGGGCTAGAGGTCTAAGAGTGGCTTCCCTCCCTGCAAATGGAAACATCTCTCAACACCAGGCTCTCAAGGCCAGGTGATGCACAGCCTACCACTTGGTACTGTGATTTCCAGATCTGAGCAGCAGCACGGGGCTTTGCAGAGGAGAAAATGTCCCTGGAGAAGTCTAAATCTCCTCCAGATAGAAGGTTAAAATGCCAGTAAAGCCAGGTGCGGTTGGCTGATGTCTGAGACAGCATGCCTCCCAGATTGCAAATCTGATGTAAATTGCTCATCAGTTTTCCCCACAGGGATGCCCTAGTCTAGCTCTCTGTACTCACCCACTCAGAAGACTGACTTTAAAAAATACTTGCAAAGAACAGGATGGTGATTCAACTGGAGCTATATTAAAAAACTATTATTATATATATACACACACACATATAGACACACAGTTAACACAACACTGATAAAACTGACTTTCTATTACTTGGTCTTGCTGTATTCTACAGTCTGATAATCATTGTTCACAAGGACAAATGACCAAAAGGCCTTGCAAGAAACTCATGTCCTTTCTGAATCATCAAAAAAAGAGTCTGCTATGTTCACCCTAGCTTTAGTATTCTGTGTATGTTGCTGAGTTTTAACTATATGAAAATCGGTAAGCTGTGCATGGTATATATAGTAGCCATTAACCAAAATATTTGATTACCAGATCAAACTGTTTTCTAAACATGGGAGAAAATTTAGAGTGGAATCTGCCTCCAACTGTGACCCCAATGCCTTGTTTTCTTGGATTTCCCCAGGATACAGGGAGCTCAAGGTAGGATACAGGGAGCTCAAGGCAGCTGCCTCTGGATTTTCAACCATTCCATTATAGGTGGAGAGATAACATTTGTCTGAGACTTTCACTAAGTTGTGTCCTCAAGATCAGGTTGGATTTATTCTATATAAATGCAAAGGCACTTAATGTATTGGCAATATTCCTTTAATTGTCTGCCTGTATTCTCCCACTAGATTGTAAGCTCCCTGAGGGCAAGGACCGTGTCTGTTATTTATAGCTCTATCTGCAGTGCCTGGCACATAATGAGTACTTGAGAAGCAGTTGAGTGAATAAGTGAAATACCTAGTTCAGGAAAACTACTGATAAAGCCCAACAAGTTATCTCTTCCCTTTCACGTCCCCATTTTCCTTTTTTTCTGTGTCTCAGAGGAGAGGTGATGCTTTGTCTTTTACATTTGGTGGTTTACCAGCATCCTTTAAGTCCAGTCAGCTAAGCATTGAATTGGGTTAGCTGGCAGCCAGTAGCTACTATGGTACAAGAATATAGACCCGGCTAGAGAGACCAGGCTCTGAGTGGGCTGGAGCTCTATTCTCTGAAGGGAAAGACCAGATGAGGTTGGCAGGAAGACTGTTCCCTATAGGCCTTTGCTAAACCACAGTCAACACTGGGGCTTTTGTTCTGGGATGAAAGTGGGGGCTGATGGAGGAAGCCAATCTCAACTTTATATCAGGAACTGATGGCCTCTCACTGTAACCTGCGTGGAGGTTACAGTGAGGCCATGGGATAAGCTGTGCACCCCAGCCCCTAACAGGCAGACCCATGAGACTCACCCTGCCCCACTTGTCTAGAACCCTGGGTGTTTGCTGTCAACCCAGTAACCAACAGTCCAAAAGGCCAAGTACTGGGCCCAGACATTGGCCCAAGCCCCTGGGGAAGTCAAGCGCTACAAACTGGGGATACCACAGTGATCCTGCATGGACAAAGACCTTGTGTCAGAGGCAGCCTAAGCCCCCACCACTCTGTAGGCCCAAGGAGGGAGTGTCTCAGGAATCAGGGAGGGGCTCTAAAGCTATGCCTAGCACTTATAGAAGCTGCAAGAGAATCCAACAAAATTGATTTGTCTTTGGGAAAGCAACATGATGCAATATGGAATGTATTCAGTGAAACTGAAGGGACAGAGGAAACCAGTGTCCCTCACATGGTGCCACTATTCCCACAGCAAGGGGAATACTTAATGAAAGCATTTGGCTAGGGTGCTAATGGGATGACTAAAACCCTTTGGAAGGCAGGGTGGTACTATAGAATCACCCAGGGGCCTTCTTAAAATGGACCCCCAAACAATCCTCACTTCCACATCTGGTCCTCAGATGAGCTCCAGGTTCTTTCTTCTGCCTTACCTTTTCTCTTTCTCCCTCTCTATTCTGCTCAGTAAGAAGTATAATTTACTTAGGTGTGATGACAGAGAGTAAGACCACAGGTGACATTAACAATGTTAACACTGGCTTTTCCATCACTTGGCCATCATAAGTTTGGTAGTTCATATGGCCACCCATTTCAAAGCAACTTGCCTGGAGACATGTGGCAACTTGGACCCCTGAGTTCTTTATATTCCAAGTTAGTTCTTTTGCTTCTCTATGTGGCCCCCTTCATATGCCTTGGGGCCGGCCCTCTATCTTTCCCCAAATCTGTGTTTGGTGGATTGCCTTCTAATTCCTGTGGACAATATTATGAGATGTAAACATGTGTCTGTTGTGATGTTCATGATGAAGAAAATGAGGTGAGAGGGTGTATGTGGATACACAGCCCACTGGGTGTTGGGTCATCCATCAGGTGTGTGCTTCTATTCTAAACTCCTCAACCTAGATCAGATGTGACCATGCTGCAAGGCAAAACAGCCTTGAAGAGAAAAAAAAATAGTTAAGCAGCAAGAGAAGTGGATGAAGAGTCTTCAGCATGTAAGGAGGACAACTACTGGGTGAGAAGTCTCAGCTTCCACTTGTGATGTTTGGGTGCTGGGATGGGGAGAGCACTCATTGCATGTATGTGAGCCTTAAGTCTAATATGTAGAGTACCTGCTCTTTGAGTCCCCTCCTTCTCCTCCCATTTTGGTTTGGGGCGGCATTATCTGGATTGGGTTGATTTTTCCCAAGGCCCCTGATTGTGCCATCATCAAGACAGCTCTGAGAAAGTGGGTTCACTTAGCTGTTTGAGAGCTGCACTTGACTGTTTTAAGTGGTCATGCCCTCCTATCTCTAAGACTCCTACTAGTCTATACTCTGGGCTTACACAGTCTTTCCTACCCAAGTCTTCTGTGGCCTCTTATTTCAGGCAGCTGTCAACCCTCCTATGAACAAAAGAAAGTTTTATCTTCATTTTCAGCTTCCACTTCAAAAAATTTAGAACACCCATGCATCTCTCCTAGATCAATGTACCTCTAAAACTTTGCCTTAAATTCAATGAGATTCCTTAATTGGTTCTATTTATTGCTTGTTTGCTATTTTTATCTTACAATTGTTCACTGACTCAATCAGTGTGTTGTCACAGGCATCCTTTGCTGGACAAGCCCATCTGAAGGCCAGCTGTCTTTCCCACTGGCTTGTGCCAAATGGGACGCAGTGGTACAGCATTAGCTCCTGGTAAATCAGGCACTGGCAGAATGGGGTGAGCACTAAGGCAGAGGAGCTCCTCCCTCCATGTCTCCAGGGTCCAAAGGGCCTTTGCCACACTGAAAACTGAGGTTGAGCCCTACCTGCCTTGATCATTGGAAGAGGCTGGTTGGTGGGTCTGGAGAAAACCATCTTCCTGGAATCCATTAGGAGGCGGCAGTATCCCGAAATCAGGCAAGCAAAGTTGGTGGCTTCGGGCCACTCCATCAACAGCACCAGAGGCTGGGGGAGAGACGGGGAGAAACATGAGGACACATGGGAAAGAGGAAGGCAGGTTCAATTCCTGGAGAATGATGGTAAAGAAAAGATAATTTGCATGGTTATGGGAACCACAACTTCTGAACCCAAAATTGAGGCACATGTCCTGACAAATGATTTCTTCTGATTTGAGAATTAATTTGTAGTAAACTCTTACCCAAGTACCAAAGCTAATCAACCTTAATTACACATTTAATGAACCTTCTTTACTGAAAAAAAACTAAAATTATTAAAGATCATGTGACTGCCATGTGGCTTTTATTAGGGTTGTCAGGGCTCAGTAGATATTCAGCCAGCTGGGAAAGCTGGGGTGAACCAAGCTGGGGTGAATCAAGGCTAGACTGGGGAACACCTTTTTTAAAATTTATCTTTATTGTTGAAAGTGTTGCAGATATCCCCCTATTTCCCCCATTGATCCCCTTCACTTTGCACCCCCCCCCCAG